TATATATATATATGTACGTAAGTAATATTTGAAACTGTGACTTTACAGAATTTCAGTTTTGTTTAATTAAAGATTACATCTAGTTAAAATATAAATATTTTACATGCAAACGCAAAACAAGAAAAAACAAACAGGTGAAAAATGTAAATACTGTTTTAGACCATTACATTAATTTTAACTGTATTTAAATCTGCAAAAAAAACAGAATTCTACAGATATCTGTCAATATTATGTACAACTTATGAATGCGTGTATAACGAGGATTTTAATAATTCATCTTTTACAAATTGTTCCAGTTTTCATAAGTTTGTTTTTAAATACATGAATAGTAAGGTTTAAAAATAGTCCATTATTATTTAAATTTATTACTATTTTTAGACAATATCGAGTAAAATCACTGAAAAAAGGATTAACTGACACGTTAACTTTCAAAAAATAAAAAAAAACTAAAAATGGGCCAAAAGTGTAAAAAATGTTTGCATCAAAAATGTATTTATATCACATTTGAACAAATATTGTTCTTTTACGTTTGACTGTTTTTGCTGTTTTACATTAATTGCATTAAATTTACTGTGAATAAATCAGAAAAACTTTCCTTTTTACAGTTATTAAAGTTGTTTTTTTTGTTGTTTTTTTTTTTAAACAAAAGGTCAAAAATTCTTTTTAACTGTTTTACAATTTTTCTGTTTTCTTAAAAAACGGAAAATATCTCGTAAAAATCACACAATCGCATCAAAAATCCGTGTTTCTACAGATAACAGTTTGTTCTTTTACAGTATGTGACTATAAACTAATATAAAGTCACGACTTCCTATTTTCCGGCGTACCTCGTGCATGGTGAGGTCGGAGAACAGGATGACAAAGTTCTCCTCCACCCTGACGATGAGCCCAGTGTCGCCCTCGTAGCGGCCGGCGATCACCTTCACGTGGTCGCCCATCCGGAAGTACTTCCTCAACTCGTGCGCCGGGAACTCGAGGGGATCCTGAACGCAGCAGAGACGACAGGTGAAGCTTCTACCTCCGTTTACCTGGCGAGCGCTACGGTTCGCTCGGCTCCCACCTTGAGATCCTCGTGTTTGGGCATGATGGTGATCTTGTTGCCGTCGACGCTCAGGATCTTTCCCTGCAGGTTGATCAACTCGCCCTCGCAGACCTCCACGTTGTCGCCGGCCTGCAGGTTGTGTTCGCGCTCTTTACCTGCAAACACACGACGGGCTTCGTCACAACGAACCAGAAACATAGAGGTAAAGAAGCACTGAAATAAAAGAATATGTTCAAAAATCAACTGCAAAAAAGAGAAAATTAGGATCAAACGTCGTTAATCCTGCGAGATGTTGCTCTGAAAACAAAACTACTGTAAGACAGGAAGCTCCGAATAGAAAAGCAACAAGATGCAAGAACTGAAAATAAACCAGGTGAGCTTAAAATGAGACCAACAGAAACATATTGTATTAAAGTCATTTTGAAATCATCTGAAAAAAATTATATTTTTTTCTCTAATGCTACGACTGATCAGGCGGTAAACTCGTCAAACCTCTAGCTAGCTATTAAAAACGACGTACCGGACTCCGTCACCACCTCCAGGTCGATTCCCTCCGGCTGATCCTCGAACTTCTCCAGCTCGGACAGAGTCGGCTTCACTCCGTCTGTAATCTGTCAAACACATGATCATTAAATAACGCTTCACCCGCACGATCCGAACTTCACCTTCTCCAGAATCGAGCTCCAGCCGGACCTAACGGGACGAACGCTGGCTCCTTTCTCATTCATTAAGAATGAACGGATTTTTATGGCTAACGGGAGTCTCTCGAAGTCAACGTTTTAATACCAAACATGTAAAATAACAGCAGCTGATTGTATATGAATGACAACAAACAACCTGACGAGGCTTAACGCTGCAGCTAACAGCCTGCACGGTTATTTAGGGTGTGAGAAATATAAATATTATGGATTTAAACTCACAAAAATGTATATAAAATACTACTTTACTGGACTAAAACACACGTTAAGGTGAGGAAACAAGAACGTTTTCACCAGAAATCTAGTTTTTTTATTGTCAGTTTGAACTTCAGAGTCAATCTGTGGATATAAAACACGACTGTAACTGACTATAAACAACATTAAAGCGAGAGAACAAGAATGTTTTTTCTCTTTCAGCTTCAGCTTTTATGACAGTGGGAGTCAAATATATACATTTATATTCACAGATTGACAGTTAAGACCCTTATTTAAAGTGTGATTGTACTCGAGTAATTTAAATATTATTCATTAAAATCCACAAAAAATATATAAAATAGGGCTTTATTTGACTATAATACATATTATGGTGAGAAAACAAGAAGCAAATTAAGGCTTAAACCGTGCAAAAACGACATATAATACTACTGTACTTGACTTTATACGTGTTAAAGTGAGAAAACAACAACGTTTTCTACAGAAATCTAGTTTTTTACTTTCAAATTGAGCCTTAAAGTTAAAGTTCAGGAGTCGTGAGACGACAGGAGTTAATCTGTGGATACAAAACACGACTTTATTTGACTGTAAACGTATTAAAGTGAGAAAAGAAGAACATTTTCTTCAGAAATCTTTTTTTTGGACTAGGTTTAAACCTAAATATCAAAGTTCAGGAGTCGCTCTGAGTGAGGCTGTGAAGGTCCATCTCACCACAGCCGACATGGCGAAGCTCTTGAACAGGAACCCTTTGCGGCTGTATCGGTTCCCCTCGAAGATCATGAAGTCTCCGTCGTGGCTAACCTCTCCTCCCAGAGACCTGAAGCACAAACCACCACATCAGCACACAGATTCGTATTGACTTCCACCGACAGAGAGCAGAGAAGCTCCTGGACCAGCGGACCCACCGGATCTTCTCAGCGTCGAACAGCCTCTGAGCGGGCCTCTTGAACTTCTTCCTCTTGGCGAACCAGTCTTTCTGCAGACGGAGGTGGACGTTAACCATCAACACGGAGCTTTTAGTGGATTAAAACAAAACCCGTCAACGCTCGTGAAGTCCTACCAGACTCATCTTGGCCTTGATGCGGTCCAGGTCTATCCGAGGGATCATCTTCAGGGAGATGGTGTTCTGACTGGGCTCCACGTAATCCACCTGAAGGCAGCAACACATGAGGCTTCAAACGGAGCTGATCAGCGTCTATTAAAACATCTACTGAGAAACATCAGCTGTACACGAGCAACACGAGGTAATGAGAACAGTTCAGGTCTCACACGTGAACACCTCTCAGCTGCTGACCGTCGGGAGACTCGGTCGGCCTTTAGGTAGAACCAATGTGCAGAACATAAACCCAACCTCTCTGGATCCGGTCCGTACCTGAGCGATGTCGTCCTTGTACAGGCCTCTCTTCAGCCTCACCCACGACTTGGGCTTCAGGTTGGTGACCTCCTTGACCACCTTCAGGACGTCCGTCATCTCCTTGATGGGGACCATCTGCTGGTTCCAGAAGCCCATCCTCAGGTTGCCGATGCCCTCGATGGCGGCCTTGACGTGGGTCTGCTTGTACGACTCCACGTAGATGTAGCCCTTGACGTGGTCCGGCGCCACCACCGACTTGATCTGGAGCGGCTGCAGAACGCACAAACAGAGCGATCAGAACCGTCAGATATGAAACAGTAAAACGAACTTTCACCGTCTTTGAGTGGCGTGAGCGTTCTGCAGGTTACAAAAACTCTCGTTTACGCCTATTTCAGGAAATCATTGTGGTACCGTTATTGTTACCGTTTAGTGCCGAAGTTACCGTTTATCGGAGCTAAAGTGGTGCCACGTTAGCATTTCACTGGAACAGATACAAAACAAGCATCCGAATGAAAAGACATCAGAGGCAGCAGACAGGTCGGCTAGCTTGGCCACAATCTGACTGAATGCTAATTTATTTGAATACATGCATTATGGAAGGAGAAATACCTAAAAATGAAGGAAGTCTGGGTTTCTAACTGGTCTTTATCGGCACGCCTGTAAAGAAATTCCTCCTTAATGCAGCATTGTTGATCAATAATTGAATCATTTGTATTATTAATCGGGTATACAGTCCTGTGTTGATGCTGCTATTTTAAATCCCGATACAGGCCTCAAAGATCGCTGTCCTGGTTGATCCTGGCTCGATTTAACACCTGCTGGAGGTCATTACGCGTCTCAGCAGCAAATACGCCAGCAAACAGCAGCGAAGACGACGGTAGTGAAACTCCATCAGCGCTTGTTGGTAAATATTTTCCCGCTACATACCGTTGAAAGCAGCGTAGCGGGCCGTTACTCTGCTGCAACGCTGGTAACCCAGAACCCAGTAATACAGCAACACGATCCTGGCTTTGTTTATCATAAAGTCAGGACAGAAGTCATTAACCGTGACTAGCTAAACTTCCACGGTGCTCTCTGCTCGCTAACATCCAACTGCCCGCCTCCTAGTGTCGCTACGGTATCAACGGCAAGAGGCTCCACCTGTTGGCACCAACAGGTACTACAGCTGATCCACTAAGTGCGCACGTTTGAAGGAAAACAGCATCAGACTTCAAACACGAAACACTAAATGACAACTGGGACATCCTTAACGTATAAACTCGCTTGTTTCGCTCATCTTTTTTTTTACTTTATACCAAGAAAACAAATGTTTCCTGCAGTAAATCTGGTTTTGATTCAAATATTACGACAGCCAGAAACTTGTACCTCTTGTCGGCCTTTAAATTCAACTTATCGGATTCGGACTCCATTTCTGCAAATAGTACAAACGAATGCTTGGATTGAAATGTGTTCCACCAGGACAACCCAACTTAAAATACTTCAGCTGGATCTACCATCACTTCTTGTGCTTCAGAACACGTCAACAAAGCGTTTTTGGAGCCAATCGGCTGCACAATATCGCACAGTTGGTAAAAATAACTTTTATAAATAACTCTTTCTCGTACTCCGCCAGCATGAGTCAAAGCAGGACTAAAAAGGGAGTTCTCTGGCCTTCAGTCATGTAAACAAAACAGCACATTTATTTGGCATCCTCCGTGGAAGAAAGCTCACACACTTCTAGGCTCCTTCGGTTTAACAGTTTTGTGATTTGAATGCAGTAATGGTCAGCAGAGAGGAGCTTGTTTTCCATGTTAAACCCGACTAACGCTGGAAGTCTCTCAGCGGATGTTCAGTTTCTTCCAGCTGATGATTTCACGAAGCAGCTGAAGGAAGTGCGTGAGGAAGATGGAAAATATGCAGCGCTGAGGCCGCCCAGGACCAGAGCACTGGTCTCGAAAGATGCCAACAACCGATGAGTCGACTGATTCGACAACAAGCTGCAGCGCCGGGAGAGTTTCTCGAAAACAAAACAGGAAACATACTTGATTTAAGTCAAAAACAACAAAAAAAACCTTCGGAGATAACGTCTGTTCAACACAGAAACTGTGAAATCAGCTGACGTCTTTGATGAGACGTGCATCTAAATGCTTTTCTCCCCCAATATATATATATGTAAAAAGAAAGGATTCAAAACCACCAGGAAAACACCAAAATCATCACAAAAAGATGCAAAGTCACCAGTACGGCTCAAATTCTTCACAAAAACATGCAGAAAGATGCAAAATCATCACAAAAAAAATGCAAAAAAAGATGCAAAAACACAAGAAAAACATGCAAAACAGTAGCAGACTGTAAACCACCAAGAAAAAAAATCAGGCTCAAAATTATTTTTTTTAAAAACATGCAAAAACACCACAAAAACACTTAAAATCCCAACTAAAGACTGTAATATTAACACGAAAAGGTGCAAAATCAGGACTAAAAGGGTACAGATCATTACAGAAACATGCAAAAAGACGCAAAAGCATCACAAAAACTTGCAAAAAAAGATGTGAAACCAATAGAAGAAAATGAATAGTAGCAAAGAATGTAAAGTCAACATAAAAAATCACAACAAAAGACTCAAAATTATGACGAAAACATGCAAAAAGACGTGAAACCACCACAAAAATAGACACGAAATCAAAGCAAAGACCGTGTGAACCTCATAAAAGCAAAGAATTCACTATAAAGACGCAAAACTAAAGAAAAGATGCAAAAACAAATTGTGAAATTACCACAAAAAAGGCGGAAAATCATCAGTAGAAACCTTTTCAATTCATATTTCTGCATCTGGTGCCACTCCTGTCTTTAATTTTATCTTTATTAAGAACTAATCGAGTCCAAACGACTGTTTCTTGTGAACTGCAGACGACTCCGAGGAAATATTGTTCAAAACAAGTTTTTCCTCCCACTCTGCTTTTATTGATTGTAATGGATCCTCGATGTTGTTTCGTCATTTCTGAAGTGTTCTGGTTTGTTCCGTGCTTGGATTCAGCTCACTGGGTTTTTGCGTCCATTTCATCTGACCTTCACCCACTTTGGGTTTTGCATTTCCTAACCTGGATGTGGTTTGTTCAGCATTGATTCTGTTTCACTGCGTCACACGGTCTCTGCTGGCCACATCAACCAAGACTCTCATCTATCATCTTTGGGCATTCGCTCATCTTTTATTGGACGATTACAGCAAAGAGAAACCGGAGAAAGAGTTGACTGAGAGAAGATGTATGATGCAGACTAAAGTTGGGTCCGCCGGATACGAGGCCCTGAACAAATCATCATTATTTAGATGAATTACAGGTGCGAGAGAAGAGGATCTCATGTTGAAAGTTGCAGCTTCCGGAGCAGAAAATACACAAAATACTCAACTAGCTTTAATCTTTTTATCATTTCTACCTGCATCAGAGGAAGAACTTTGTTATTCAGGCCAGTCTGGACACCTTTTTCCATAAAAACCAACATAAATATCATAAATCAGCCATGCAGGGCGAACTCCTCTGTTCGTACTGATGTGAAACCAGGCGGCCAATCAGAGCAGAGCGTTCACGTCACGTGAGCAGAAACAGGAAGTAGTTTCTTACCGTGTCAGTGAACTGGTAGGCGATGAATTTCCTCATCAGCGCGATGGCCGTCGCTCGCTCCTCCCCGATCTGCACAGACACAACAACACAAGAGTGTGTTAATGTGTGTTTAAAAGTGTGTTAATGTGCGTTAGTGTGTGCTAATGTGTGTTTAAAAGTGTGTTAATGTGTGTTAATGTGTCATTAAAAGTGTGTTAGTGTGCGTTAGTGTGTGTTAATGTGTGTCTGAAAGTGTGTTAATGTGTGTTAGTGTGTCATTAATAGTGTGTTAGTGTGCATTTTGTGTTATTGTGTGTTTCTGTGTGTGTTTTTACTCACTTTGCACTTGACCGTCCACAGATTCGGATCCCTGACGACAACAAACAACAAACGTTAGCACGAGAGCAACTCAGCGACATCATCGCCGCGTCTGGATGCCGATTGGTCGGCGAGTGTTTACGTACTTGACTCCAGGAAGTAGCTGCTGCTGGGTGATGTCATCAGAGAGCTCCTCGGACCCTCCGGAGTAACTGAGCACCACAGAAGAAGAAGAAGAAGGGAAAGCGTTTTTTCTCCTGATTTCCTGTTCTTACAACGTTTTGTTTTTGTTGTTTTTCAGTTTAATTTGATATATTAGACACATTTGGGAAATAATTATGAAACCACCTGTTATTAATGATTAAATAATTAAATGATTACAGCACAATTGGGTTTAAAAATACTGTCAAAATGTCAAAGCTCGCACCACCATCACCTGCTGCTTCGGCCTGACGACGCTTTTGAGTCGCTGAAAAGAAAACGCTTCAAGAACCGCAAAGTAAAGGCAGAGAACAAGCGCTCACGGCGGTCTGGCCATTAGCTCTGAAGCTCGAGGCTCCGCTAACAGGAACAGAGTCTAGTCTCAACACTTCCCAAAGTCGAGCAGAAAAAGACGTCATTTCTATTTTATTTTACCTTTATTTAACCAGATAAAAGACCCGCTGAGATCGAAACCTCTTTCACGAGGGTGACCTGGCCGAGGAACTATGAGTGCGAACACGAGGAGCAGCCAGGTGCAGGATGTTCAGGCGTAACGGCCTTTAAGTCTCGTAATCGTTGTGACCTTTTGTTGTGCAATAAAACCGATGGAAAAGCTCCGAGTTTGGCACGACAGCAGGTGCTGAAAGTGTCAAAGTCTAAACTAGAGAAGGACAAAAATCTGCTCGACATTTCCATAAATACGTAAGAATTAACGCCGTCTTCGGTTTAATCGCATCTGGATGTGGTTTAGATGCTAACGAGCTGACTGCTGCAGCGTCGGGTCGACGCCGTTTTGTGAAGAAATGTTCCACAGAAATCTACTCACTGTTCGCCTCCCGACGACTTGGCGTATTTCCTCATGTAGTATTCGCCCAGCGCCTCCTCCCTGGAGTCTCTGCAACAACACAACACAACACAACAGTCAGTCCAGAAAACACAGGAACAAAACAAAGCTGCTTCTGTCCAACGGCACAACCTGCTGATGTCTCGTTAACCAACACGGTTATGTGATTACAGGTGAGTCCACATTAAAGGGAGATTTAAAACTCCACTCGTCTCCATCCGGCGCCGTGTCAACACGACTTCTCCAGATGGTGTCATTTACACACATTTGTACGATAATTGAAACCATTGCACCACTAATGTCTGTTAACTGCTGCCTGTTGGTGCATTTTACTGCACTTTTTATTCCATCTATCGTTAATAAGTTGTGTTTATTTTCGCGGGCGTCTGACGAACATTTGGGTTGGAAACGTAAAATGACGGAAAATTTTTAAAAATGACAAACGAACTGGATCGATTTAAGGTTTAAACATCCGCCAAAAGTGACAACTTGTTTGGAAAAGGTGACGTTTTTACGCATAAATTAAAACGACTGATCAGCTGACGATTCATTCTGCAAGAAAACAGCCTGTTTCCAACAAACAGGAACTCATCTTCATGGTATCTGATGCTCAATAGTTGGGTTTCTTTTTCAATATATGTCACATTTATATCAGAGGAAAGTAGAAGCACGTGTGTGTGGAATGAAAGCGTCAGTATTAACTGTTAAACTGTAAAAAGTCTGTCATGAATAAAACACATTTTAAGAACTTTGTTGAGGACTCAGTTTGTTTTTGAACAGTGAAGAATCCACAGATGCATCGAATCTTCACACGTCAGAAGCCACAAACAGCCGATGTTTGACATCTTTGCTTTTCGGCTTGCAGCCGAGTACGAAGCGGTGGGGATGCAGATCAGTAGCTCCAAGTCCGAGGCCATGGTTCTCTGCCGGAAACCGGTGGATTGCCTCCTCCGGGTGGGGTGGGGGGTTGGGGGAGTTTCAGTATCTCTGGGTCTTGTTCACCAGTGATGGGAAAATGGAGCGCGAGGTGGACAGGCGGCTCGGTGCGGCGCTGTACCGGACCGTTGTGGTGAAAATTTAACAGTCCATCTACGGCCCAACCCTCACCTATGGTCTCCAGCTTTGGGTCGTGACCGAAAGAACGAGATCGCGGCTACAAGCGGCTGAAATGAGATTCCTCCGCAGGGCGGCTGGGCTCAGCAGTAGAGATAGGGTGAGGAGCTCAGACATCTGGATGGAGCTCAGAGTAGAGCCGCTGCTCCTTCGTGTTGAAAGGAGCATGGATGGATGGATGGATGGATGGATGGATGGATGGATGGATGGATAGATGGATAGATGGATGGATAGATGGATAGATGGATAGATGGATGGATAGATGGATAGATGGATAGATGGATGGATGGATGGATCACCTGAGCTGCAGTGAGTCAACACTGACGGGTCGGTTCTGATCTCATAAAGCTCATAATTAATGCTTGCTGCTCATTTGTTCACACACGGCAGACTTTTGTCTTTTTTTTTATATAAAACACAAAACAATCTGTATTTCCTGCATTTATTTGACCATAAATCAGCTACAGTTCAACTCGAGCTTTATTCCTACATTAGTCCTTTTTCTTTTTTTTTTACTAGCATCTGCTATTTTCTAATTCTACTCCGACTAAAACGGAACCAGAACCGTCGAGCTTCATTTCACATTTCACTCCGCTAGCTGCGAGGATTGTTTTTGATTGTTTTTGACTCTTCGGCGCCAGAAAACGATGAAAACTCCACAGATGCTTGGTTTTGTGAGCACGTCGGACCGGATCAAATCTTCACTAAAAACGGTGAACGTTTCCCTTCAGCGTTAGCTTAATGCTGCACATAACTAATGCTCACAGTTCTTACATTCATACGCAGGGCTGAGCTGCAGATGTTTTGTTATTTTTTACAACATAAAAGACAAATATAATCCTACTTAATGCGTTTATTTGACCATAAATCAGCTTCAAGTCGAGCTTTATTCCCACATTTTCTGCTATGTTCTGGTTCCACGTGCAGCGCTTCATTTACTCTGTGATTTACGGCTGCGATGAAAAGCCAAAATGTTGTTTTATTTTCGCTGCGGTTCCTCAGATCTTGCTGCGACCTTCAGTGTCTCTGATCCAGATGTTGTTCATGTGAGCCTCACAGATGTTTCTGCGAGGACGCTGGATCAGGTGGAAATAGCTGCAGCCTCACGTCGACTAACTGACCAGAGTCCCGGCGGCCGAACGTCTCCGGCGTTCCCCTTCAGGACTAATCTTCTGACAACTCTGACCAAACCAAACTTCGTCTGTCTGTGAGAGAAAAATGCTCTCAGGAGCTGTTTTCAATCAGGAGAGGTGTAATTATTCTGCCATGCCTTCGTATATTGGTCATTTTTCATTCTGCCTGGAGATGAGGACACAAACATCTGGTCGGTCACGAGACGCAAACGTGACATGAAGCTCTAGAAAAAAGCATCTAAAGAGAGCAGAAAACCTTCAGAGATGATTTCTAATGTGACACTTAAGGAGGTAAAAACTCTGCAGCTGACTGGTCGGTGATTTATTCCTCAATAGTTCCTGTGCTGCAGAAATCTGATTCATGTTTGTAGCTGCTGTGGTCCAACTCTGTTCTGATCGTTTCAGCTTCACGTACAAAAACACAAAAATCACACAAAATGGTTTAATAACCACAAAAAAGATGAAAGATCAACACAGAAGGGCTAAAAAATGCTAAAAAAGATGTAAAAGCATCACAAAAAGACAAAATCAACACAAAAGAACTAAAAAAATGACAAAAATCAACACAAAAAGACACCAAATCTCTACAAAAAGATGAAAAATCAGCGGCTGATTTGGTTCTATTTTCAGAAATCAGATGAATCTGTGCAGCTGCTCCCACTTTGTGGTCATGACTTCATGAGTTACAGTGACGTAATCAGCTGATGACACCAGATTTTTCTGCTGAGTTAGAATCGGTTCAGATGATTAGGAGGCGTCCAGGCCGGTGGAGGCTTCCTGCTGATGTTTCTGCTGCCACGAACCGACCGATTGACTTTTTTTTGTTCGTATCCAACCGATGAAACACAAGTTTTGACAGAAGATCTCTGATTTCATCTAAAAGGTCTGATTTCTGCGTGAACCTGAGGATCTAAACGCTCTGTTTATTTTCATATCAGCGACTTTCTGTGACTTTCTCATCAGCAGCTTCGGTTTGACGCGTTTACAATAAAAGCTGTAAACAAACAAACAAACAAACAAACAAACACGGAGCAGAGACGGAGCTCTTCTTACCTCCAGAGGTTCTGCAGCCGCCTGGACCCGGAGTGATCTTCATCCAGAACCACGTGGTCAATGTTGGACACTGAGGGGAGCAGAACCAGGCGGAGGGTCAACCTTCACCTTCATCTACGCCGTCATAAAGAATGAACAGCTGTGACGGTGAAAAGACGTCTTACCTTCAGCCTCCTCTGCTCAGGGCCCACCAGAGAGAGAGGAGAGAGGAAGAGGAGCAGCGGGGAAGAGGAAGAGGAGGAAGGATCCATAAAGGAGAACGAGTTAGACGAGCAGAACGGAAAACGAAAAAGGGACAGAGAGCGAACCAGCAGGAGAGAATGAAGGAGGAACGGGAAGGACGGACAAGGAGGAGGATGAAGCCAACAGACATTCAGTCATCAGGCAGCAGCAGCAGCAGCAGCAGCGACACAAAGCATGATGGGAGAAAAACACAGGAGAACAAAGTGAGCAATGGTGACTTCACAGCACGGAGAAGCATGGAGGCCGTGAGGAGGCGCTACAGCAGAAACAAAACTCGCTCTGAGCTCCGAGGCACCGAAACGTTCGGTTTGCGAGCCGAGAAACGCATCGAATCCTCACGTCTGAGCGGCCAACGTACGACAGGCTGCAGAGTTTAGGTCGGTTTTAAAAGAAAAACGTTCTTTATTTTACGATAAATCGGCCACAAACAAGCACACGCTGTTTACGCTGCACAACACAAAAGAACTGGATGTTTTTTTCAAGGCGTGATGAACTTTTTTGATGCTTCACTGGAGAAATTCACAACTTTTAACTGAAATGTTTTGTTAAATTAAAGACAATAACCTTTAAAATCACAGAAAAAAACATAAATTTTCATGTTAATAATAAGAAAGCAGCCAAGACGTATTTGTAATTTGTTATTTTACGATACTTGACAATAAAATGACTATTTTTAATTTATTTAAATCAGAAACATGATTTAAAAAATACAAAAAGATTATTTTCAGATATTTGGAATTATTTGACTTATTTACTTATTTAATTGTGTGTATATATTTTTAAAATTTTTATTTTGCATTTTTTTTTAAATGTGCTTAACTTTAGGTAATATTAAGTAAATAGAAAAAATAATTAAACGTAAATAGTGATTAGTGTTTTCTTCCAACACCTGACCACAATTTTTTTATGTCTGTTTTTTTTACTTTATTAAAATCAGAAATATTTTTTCATATAAAAATTAATTTCAGATATTTTCAATTACTTGACAGAAGAATGATGTGCATACTTAAAAAAAAAAATCTATTTTGCTTTAAAATAAAAAAAAAAAAAAAAAAAAACATTTCCTAAACTTCAGGTAATATGAAGCAAATTTACAAAAAAGTATTAAATATAAATAGAAATTAATGTTTTTCCCCCCACAGCTGACATTTCTACTTTATTTAAATCAGCTAAAAACGTCGACATGTTGCTGATATTTGCTGTTGTTCAGCGCGACGTTGTTCTGAAGCTCAAACGGACGACGTACGGACGACGTACAGACGACGTACAGACGACGTTCAGGCGACGTTCAGACGACGTTCAGACGACGTTCAGACGACGTCCGGCTGGATTCCCGTTTTGTTTCCACTGTACATCCGCCTAAAGTGAGTCTATGCATTACACATGAAAAGCTCGTCCACGCCTGTTAGTGTGGATATTAACACGGGACGGCTTTCTACCAGGCAGCAGCTTCAGGCAAATGATCACACTGGTTCTCTGGAGGCTTCCTGCAGCTCACCAGCATCTCACACATGGAGCAGCTTTATTCATTTACTGGGTTTTAGCCGACATAAATAAAAAAAAACACTAAACCCTGAGTTTAAGCGTCCAAACAGCTGAACAGGTGCTCGTTTGCTTCCAATTAGAAATGCAGAATGTGTTTAAGGGTCTGAGGTGTTGTTCAAGAAGCCAATCATGGATTTGCCCTCAGTGCTTCCTCACGTTCACAGATACAGCCGAGCCGAGATGAGGTGGGTTAATGTACATTCTGGGATATGGGTGATACTCCATCGGTTCACATGGATATCAGTGAAGACGTCAGAGCAGGAGAGTATCTGAGCAGAATTACCGTTAACTGCAGAGGACATGCACGACAGAAGAACGCCGATAAGACAGAGAGAGTTCAGTCAGAACACAGGTCCAACCGCAGAGTCACAGTCAGAACACACACAGACAGCGACTGTAAACACCAGGTTCTCCTCTTCTAGCGCTTCTCAACACTGAGACATGGTTTGATTTGGCTTCCTGACAAAAAAAGGCCTGAATCAGGATTTCTA